TAGATGTGTGTGTGTGTCTATATGCACATAGTCACATGCTACTTCGTGGTTCGACATTCTTGGACTCGCTCTTTCGCAGGTGTTCAACGATTGTCAATTTTAATTTTACTCACGTGAATGGGACGGTACAGGATAAAAAGTTAACCTAAAGAAAAAAAACTTCAGACAGGTGCCGCCATTTTGTAGTTTGCTTTCAATGAGCCTATACTGTAAGGCCAGTCAAAGAATTACCCAGAAGGCAACAGTGCTTCCAGCCCGCTGCTTTCTGCTGAAATGGAGGGAAAGTTTTGATCCAATCTGAACCTGACTACAAAGTTCGGTCCTCCTTATTCATTGTGACTTTGACGTTCAGCGGATGCAGAAAGCTGTACGGAACCAACTGGGAATTGGACCAGAACTACTTCCAGTCTCATCAGTCAATCTGAGAGCTGCTTGCCAGCCCATGAAGCCTCTCGAGCGGGGAGGCGTTGCTTGGAGGTCTGGTGTCTTCTCCGAAGCTCACTTGGCCTTTTTTCACCCGCATTTCTCTGAATTATTTGGACTCTATCTGAACCATTGTGTGGTTTTGTGCTGGCTCTCCAAAGGTCCCGCTCTCTCCAAAAGTGTCTGGTGCTAAACGACTGCAGAGAGCCAATCAGAACCAGAATCAGAGGTTGGTGAGTTTCTCATATAAAATATGTTGTTAAAATGAAGTGGGTTTAAGAGTTTAGAGCATTGCAAGAGTGTGGGAAGTGTTTATAAACCCTTAATATACATACTAAAATAAATATAGTCTTCCTACTGCGCGTTTTTTCATCTATTCCAGGGGTGTGGAACGTTACCCCCGCGATAATCGAGGGACTACTGTACGTGAAGGTGGCGTATAGGAAGCAGTGTTCATCGCCACAAGCTTTAAGAGAAGGAATCTCAAAATGAGGAATGAATTCCAGTTAGGTTAAAACGCAGCACTGCAACAATAAAAAAAAAGTTTTTGGAATACATGCTATTATTTCAATTTCATGTGTTTCTTCTCTGCAGAACCTAACAGACATATGGAGAAACAACAGTTTCACAAGGTAGTCCATGTCCATAGTCAGCATTTCTATTTTGTCCTTAAATGTAACAAAAAACCTCATTAGGGTTTGAAAACTGAATTTTCAACGTTGATAAAGTTCCATGAGAATTTACAAGAACGAACGGAAATTTACTTGGAATTTTTCAGCCCTTTTGCAACCCTACCCCTCCTGAGTAGCTTCCTCTGTGAAAACAATATCAAAGTGTGCTTGAGCCAGGCCTTCTGGGGATACTTCCAACTTTAAAATCGTAAAAAAAGGAGTGATCCATGTTTTAAATTTATACGAAAATATGTTTGAAGAATCAACAAAAGCAACATCCTTTTTATTTTTACTTTATCGTACCTTTGTAACAGAGAGAACCCTCCGTCTTCAGGACCGTTGAAAAGATGCTACATGAGCTGACAGCATCTGTCATTCACAAGAAGTGAAAAGCTGTTTGTAGTCAAGTCTCCAACCATTGCTGCGTTCTCTCCTCCCTTAGTGCACCTTTTTTTTCTCCACACTTCAGGAAATTTTAAGCCAGTGGCATTTTTAGTTATTTTATTTCTCGAAAATCCTAAAATGAGCACTTGTGATGCATGCATCTCTACACAAAGTAAATCTCTACAGTGATCCAACAATGTTCAGTCAGGTCATCTGGACAGTTCCTTTTTTTTCTTGAGAGACGTTTCACCCTCCATCCGAAGGACTTCATCATCTGAGGAGTCACATACAAACTGTTTTCCCCACCAAGCCGTGCACTCCTACAGTGGACCAACCAGTTTGCTGGTGATAAGATGGTTTATGGGGGCTGTCCTCTCCCCCGTCGACTCCTCCCAGGCACCCACAGCCAAAGTGGTTCAAGACATCAAAGTCCATGCTCAATAATCCAGGTAAAGAAATATAGACATAATATGACCAAATATGACATCACTCTACAGTGATGTCATTGCTCGCCGTCTCGCATGCCAAAATACATGAGATATTTGCTTGTCTGCTGTAACAGCAAACTAATGGAACTCAAAAGTGACTTCTGGGTGTACATCTTCACCTGATTAACTTTTTGAAGTCATCCCTGTGTAGTTGGGGGGAATAACTAATTGAGTTATAAGTTCAGAGGAATAGTCACGCTCGCCCTTCATAAACTCTTATAAGCTGTTTATTTCTGGAATTATTGCGCTTTCAGCATCAAAATATGCACGTATGAAATTCTGTAATTTTATTATTGTTTTGTGATTTGGGGGCCTTTGTGTGATCACATGCTTGCCTGTGTTTTGCACACAAGCATCCACAAAGAACAGCGTGGAGCTTCTAGTCTGTCAGAGCTCGGTCCTAGCTCCCTGAGGTGGAGAGTGCAGAGACGGTGGACGAGACGCTGCAGATCTCCATGTTGGTGAAGGAGCTCCCTCCCTCACTGCTGCAGTCGGGGACAGAAGAGGAAGAGGAGATGATGTTCTTCAGCCTGTGCAGAGAGATGACGAGCAGCGTCAGCAGAAACACCAGCAGGCCGAGGAAGAGCCACACGTACACGTAAACGTTGCCCTGATGTCCCGGAGAGGAGGCGGCCGCCGACATGGAGGCAGACGTCGGGGACAAACGGAGGAAAGTCTCGTCCATCGGAGTGATTCCCGTCTCATTCTGATCCATCAGAACATCCATTCCTGACATCCTGGCTGACCTGCGAGCAGGGAGAGAAAAAAGGAAAAAGAGATTTGTTGCAATACGAGCAGAAGCCCACCAAACGTCAACTTTAATTATTTAAAAGACCTGCAGGAGATCCTTTCTTCTCGTCTACTGGAGCTGCCAGAAATCTACCATTTCCCTGCAGAACACACAGCAGGAGATTGCTGACATTAAACAAAATCACTCTCGTCCTCACAAAAGCTTCACATACCCCTTAGGTGAAGATAAAAGAAAGGGAAAATGTGCATTTCTGATTTAGGGTTTATTTATTTTTTTTTTTTACTTCCGGGTGAATTTTATAAAATACTCAATAAAAGAATAACTTGACTGAAACATTTGGAAAACAGGAGGTCATTTAGTAAAACTGAAACACCTGAACTACCTCTAAAAATGACATACACAAAATAATGAAGTATTCAATGATTGAACATATGGGGTTTCATACCTTTGAGGCACGTCTTCTGAGTGACTCTCAGCTACTGACACCAGATTCACAAGTACAGCCCATGATTACTTTCTGAAGGTTTCAGTAAAATTTATCCATTGGTTTATGAGATATTTTGCTATTTTTGGTACATGTTAAGGGAATTTAAGTAAAGGTTTATGGATGTTTGTCAATGCTAACATTAGATTAATGTTGAACCATGTGTGTGTGATCAAAGTGTTATTTTTCTCTCTCAGAGAAACCTGATGCCTCCGAGTCAAAGAGGCCGAGGTCATCGTGCTGATAATTATTATAAAAACACTTCCTGCACACTGTCAGGGGCAGATCTTCATGACATGGACTTCAGTGTAACATCTGTGTAAGCCTGGTAGACTCTGCCCATGCAAGTAAACCGGGTTTAAAAAAATCTGTCTTCGTGTGTGACTATTTTTAAGTAATATGCAAGGTCAACACAAGGTCAACACAGGGTCAACAGTACAATAAAATGCTTAGGATGACGAGAACCGATTTGACTCAACAACAAAAAAAAAAAATCAAAGAACAAACAAACAAGAAATACTAAAAGCATGCAATAAGGGTACAAAAACAAAGTACCAAAAAGTGAAAAAGTAATTATATTTACAAGGTCCTAAAGAGAGATGGTAAACAACTTGGTAGAATTTTAATGGTGCAAGCTGGATGAATTTGAATGAAAAAGTATTTCAATTAGTAATATAAGCTAAAATGCACACTATATATATATATATATATATATATATAT